AGCTATGCCAACAGAAAATTACTGCAAAAGAGCAGCCTGGCTAACTTCCTGTATTCATGTTAATGATATATTGTAAAGTATTCTACACTCAGGTAAAAGTAAATTCCAAGGAAGATGGGTCAGCCTGACAGTAAACTGGATTGTGTCAATGTTACTTACTGCACTTAAAATGAAATCACTTTATCTTTTCATTGTCATCAAGGACAAGAGATATTCCAGGCTCAAAGGGACAATATTTCTGGTGGTAAACACAGTGAGAGAAACACCTTTTTTTCTTTTCTGAGATTGGAAAATAGACACGTTTGGCTGTGAGCAACAGTGAATTCATAGCAGAACTGAGATTACCAGGGAAAATTTTTATGTGACTAGTTTCTTGAAACTGGGCTCTCTAGCTATAATTAAAAGCAGTTTTTGACTGCCTGATTTGAACTATATGGAATCCTCATGACTTAACAAGAGGAGTGAACGTTTGGACCAGCTGGGGTTATATGGTGGTTCTACATGATCTGTTTCGGTAGCTCGTTGGCTTCCATTTCTAAGAGTTCTAGAGTCATAGCAATCCTCCTAGAGCACCTTAAACCTGGCCTGCCTTCCCATCCAGGGGGTGACGATAAATGCTACACCTAGGAACCCTGGGTTCACCTCTGAATCCCCTACACATTCTCATGAGGATTATAATGATGCCCTGTGTGTCAAGACTACCAGAATATGACTGTATATAAGGTGACGCAGGGGAGTGAGGAATAAGCAGGGAGGGAGTGGGAATCAACAGAGTTCCAGACATTTTAGGGTAGTTTTAATCAACTTCCTTTCTAATCGTGTGCTAAGTATTCCAGAATCTTCTTTCATCTCTTCCGTTTTTTCCCCAACATCTCTGCTACCCTCGTTCCCTTCATCCCTGAATTTTTCCCTTTCATCTTTCAGAGAGCCTCGGTAAAAGATATGGTCAGGCTTGGTCAAGAGAAGAACATTCCTCACACTCAGGTAGAGGGAGTGACTGGTCACATCTGGGCTTCAGTGCTCAGGTGTCTGGCGACTGCCGTTTCTGCTAGAGACAGGGCCTCCTCTTTTGGAATTTGCTTTGCTCGTCGGTTCATTGGTGTTGAGGTCCTCACCTCATAGGACACAGTTCAATCTTCATCTGTTCAGTCAGTCATTTACTTCACAGCGTTGGAGGAATGATTATTGAAGTTGGAGTTAATAATAAATGATACCAATTTAGGTGTTCAGGGACTTTTGCACGAATCTAGAATCTCTAGGGTAGATTATCCTACTCCAGAAAGTGACTTTTTCCTTTATTTTAGGAAATTAAAAAGAAAACTGGTGCAGTTAATTGATGTGCACCCGGAAATTTTACTATAATTTCACTCTCATCAAGAGAATCAATTCATCATCTTAAGGAATAGAGAAGTGAACATGAAGAAATTGAAAACATTAAAAATTCCAAGATAAATGACTCTGGATGCCAGTTAAAATGAGGTGGGGTGGGGAATGATTTTATTTTCCATAGTATCTAAAAAAGCTTTTGGGCACAGCTCACATATGCCACTCAAAGAGTAAAATCTTCCCAGAGCAGTGTCTGGAAGTTTAGGAATTTATGAAGATAACCAGAATATGTAAGTTGGGGGATTCACCAAGACTGAATTTCAGAGTTCGTGATTAGTCCAGGCTAAGAAACAAATGACTGTCAGGAGAAAATCTGACTTACATTCTTTGAATTGATAGCATCAACAATAGCAATCAATTAAAACTGACATGCACTTTGAACTCTAAAAATTCTAAGAATGAAAATAGGAATGCATAATTGAAGCAAACATGGTGTCTTTTTATGTACAAATTCACCTGGCTGCTTTTACCAACAGTAAAAGCATTTTGACTTTTTTTCCCTCCATAAGCAAAATGTATGCTGAGCATATGTACTTTCTCATTTAAGTTTTTATGAGCTCATTTGTAATAAATATTCCCCCATTGAATAACCCACATCTCTTTGTAAACTTAAATACTCTATTAATAAACTGGTTTTGTAAGTCATATTATATAAGCGATGAGGCTAATTGATTTTTATTTATCTATGTTTAAATAATACAGGTAAACTTTTCACAGTATTCACTTGTCCCTAGAACTTTGCTAGGGACATAAGGGAAGTAACATAATGTCCTCTCCACTCAAAGAGTTAACAATCTTATTGAAGATTTAAGACTTACATGCATTATTAAAATAGTGAAAAATGTAAGTCAGTCTACTCACAGGGCAAAATATATCTTACAGATAATAACTCATTGAGTCTTAAATGTTAGTGCACATAAAACTATATAGGATGCCAATGAAACATGAAGATTTCCATTTTGATCTAATAGAGCAGAAAATCTGTATTTTTGTCAAGCGCCCAGATTGTCTGAATACAGTTGAACCAAGGAGCCCTCCTGGGCGACTGCACAGAAAGTCAGGACTTGGAAATTTGGGCAAAGACTGGAATTGTCAGGATGGATTTGTAGAAAGCAGTGGATTTGAGATGAGTCTACAAGGTTTAACATTAAGGATGGATGGAATTTAAAGATGGAGAAGGGAGGCTATTTCTTGGAAGAGGGAAAGGTCTGAAGCACAGCACAAATTTAGAAGTAAATGTGGCATAACAAACAGACAACTGGAAAACAAACCTGAGAGAAGCTGCCTGAAAGCTGGTATCTGTTGCCCTCATGTTGATTGTCCACATACCTTAAGCGTCTTGGACATTCGAACTTCTTTGTGAAGGTACCCAGAATATATAAAGAAAGAATCTTTCTTTCTCTTTATGCCTGAACCTGAGTTTCACATAAGTTATGTCTAACTGTAAGGTTCAATGGACATAGAGAGAGCAAGCTCTGGAGCTACAGTCCCTTAGCCAACCAAACCCTGTGCCTGTATACAAACTCTAAATGTGATGGTTTAGTGTTTAATGTGATGATTTTAGTGTTTAGCATCAAATTAATAGTCCTTATGGCAGGCACATGACATAGTACCAAAAAAAAAAAAAAAAACGGCATTGCTTTAGGAGCCAGAAAGTACTGGATTTTAATCACTATTATATCACTTCTACATACCTGGGGTATTTTACTTGGCCTCTTTGACTTTTAGTTTCCAACTGTGTAAAATGAAAATAATAATAACAATACATACATACACACTTAGTATTGGGTTTTAAGGGTTAACTGAGGTGGTAAATGTAAATTCCCAGACGCAGAGTAGATACCTATGAATGAATGAGCAATATTTCCTATTTTTTTTTTATAGTTGTAAAGAACATGTTTTAAATGAACTAATCCATGATTATACAATGGCATAGTAGGTACATTTTAGGTCAGATAGATAAAACAGAACAATTGTGATGCATTAAGAGATATTTATGTTTTTTGTTGTTGTTTTTTTTTTACAAAGAAAGAGGTGAATGTTAATTGTGGGGCTGATTAACAATGCGCTGTCATTTGAAGGACACCCTGAGATATGTTTCCAAGGGACCCAGAGTCTCCTGTTAGAGTTTCGTTTTCTGGTAACTCTTGCAGAGGTATGCAGCCCATATTAGTCATTCGTGTTCAATGTGAATTATTTTTCAGATCTTTTCTCTCTACGGCAGTAGAGAGAAAACTGCTGAGGAACAGGAGATTGGCTGGATGGACATAAAGAAAAACTGGAAACGTTTTATAATAAGAGGCACCCACAGAAGATCAAACTGGCTAGAGCCTCAGGCCATAATAGGAGGGTCCTGCAAACCTTTGTCTAGTGAGAAATGGGCACCAGAATAGGGAAAATAGGGCACAGAAAGCAGGTGCTGACAAATGTCAAGTGCTTTTCCTTCAGCCTCTGTCAGGTTTGAGTACTATTGTTCCCTGCACAGTAAATTCCTCATTTCCATTAAATGTCACATGAATGCTTTTTTACTTTTGGTGTCATGTCATAAAGTAAAATCCTCTCAGAGGAGAAAGTGAGGCTTAAATGTTCTCACCAGGTGGCCTAAGGAAATCAGGGAACAGAAACATTTTCTTCAAAAAAATAGTGGGGGAAAAAAAGCAGTGATCTGTTATATAGAAAAAATAAATATTGAAGCTGTTTCAAGTAACTCAGTTCCTTTAATGTGTTTTGTAACACTATTATTACTGCCTATTATTGCTCACGGTTTATTACTATTATTATTTATAATTACCCTCTCTTTCATCTGAGAAATTCAAGGTAAAATATGCCTCTCTGGTTTGGAGACTTTTTTCTGTTTACTGTTCTGATTTTCCTGAATCACTATATGTGATGTCTTTAGAAATTTACACTTTTAGAGGGGAAAAAAAGTACTTTTTCATTTACATTAATAATACAGGGAGAGTTGGTGAAAGAATTCTTTTTCCTGATGGGAAAAGAAAGCAGAATTACATTCGCGTAGAATTAGAAATAAGATTTAAATGTTAAGCGTAGATTAGATAAATGTAAAGTTATTTATGCCCCCCAAAATAGACTATAAATTATAGAAGGAAATGTGTTTTGTTTATACCCAGGGCTGGGTGCACAGTAGTTGCTTAGTTGAGGTTTATTGGATGATCAATTTATAGCACAATGAAAAACAGAGTTCCTAGCCCTGAGGAGTTTCAAAATGCAACCTTCATATCACTGTCAGAACAGTCTCCATCTTAACACACACACACACACACACACACACACACACACACAAACACACACACAAACACACACACACACACACACTAGGATGGCCTGAATGACTCATCTCTGTGCAGATTCCCTTGTAATTATCTAGTCAGTATCAGCACAATAGTATCAACTCAATCCTGGAAAAGTCTTACAGGGGCAGGCTTTTATAAGGAGTCACAGTGACTTTTGGTTTCTTATCAAAAGTAGCAACAGCGTCCAGGAAATATGCAGAACTTTGCTTTCAAACAGTGAAGAAATCATTGTGTAATCGAGTGTGTTACTGGGTAGGAAAATGCTATTCAATGTCCGAAGCAGGGTTTTTTATCTTTTGAATGAGAACAGAAGATTCCGAATGGGAGAGGTCAGGAGTTCTCCGAGTCACACTTCACGTGAGCAGCGCAGAACACTGCCTCGATACGGTGTCTGAGAAGCCCCAGAGAAACCCGTCTGTACAAAAACCCTTCCCTTTCACACTACCACACACAGAAATTCCTACTGTTTCAATTCACGTGTCAAAAATGAGCTTCCTTCGAAGGGCGGCAGAGGCACCCAGTGGAGACTTGCTCAAGGCACCACCTAAGTGCGGTAACTCCTCCCGTTAGGGAGCCCTAGAAGTCAGGAGACATCAAAAGGGCCAGAGGGGCCTCATTGTTGGCAAACTCAGCCAGTCTTACTATTTTGCCAGTCTATATTCCAGTTAATGTGAACACAGAAAATAGAAAAAGAACAACTTTTACCTTTCAAAAGCCATACCAGCAAATGGTCTTTGATTTCTTGCAGTCTTAGGCTTATCTCTCCAGTTAATAGTGACAGTAAAACAATAAAGATTGAGATTTAATTTTAACTCACGTTGGTCATTCTAGGGCACTGAGTGAAGAGGATGAGCTAGAGAAATATTAATCCAGGCTAGTTACTTAACATCTGCCTTATTTTGAGGAGAACACTATCTAAGGCACCCACTCAGGACAATGAAACTCTTTAGTTATATTTTGATTTATCGCCGGTTTCTCCTCATAGTTTTTACTCTATTGATTTTACTGCCCTTGCCTATCATCCTCCGCAACAAGGTAAGTGAACCTGGAGAACAGGTTGGTGGATTTCCTGATTTATTTAATTGTTGTTCATTATTGCTGTGCAATTGCCTGGCTCAGAGCTGAATGAGTGGTGATCCTTTAGGGCTGAAGGAAGGATGCTGATCATTTTTCTCCTTCCTAGTGGTTAACGTTGGTTGATTCTCAGTGTCATTAACTAGAATAATTAAATAGTCTATTCAATCAGACTTATTCTTTTCCTGTCAACTGGATGAGAGTTACAACCTTTGAGATCTTGTAGTTCAAGTTACTAATCTCCAGGGAGCATCCTGGTTTAGCACAGCCCCTTCCCCTGAGACTAGACAGAAATGTGATACCAGGGAATGAGCTGGAGGAACAACTGGGAGTCCTGGGTACAAACCAATTCACTTGTCAGCTCTGGGGCTTGGTATGGGTCACAGAACCTCCTGGAAATTTAGTTTCCTCTTGGGATAAGAAGATGTTGAAAGCATGAAATAATTTTTTTTTTTTTTTTTGGTTAATCTGAAAATCTAATACATTACTAAGCTACGTTCTGGTCACTCCAGCTTGTATTCCATTTTGGTATACTTGTAAGCATTTCTCTGTTTGCTTTTAAATGTAGTCTGTCTATTAAGTCCAAATTGATAAACTCAATACATTTTTAAGCCCTTAGTAAAATGATTTAAATAAGCAGACATTTAGTGGGCACCTTCAATATGCCAGGCATGACAAGTATCACTTACTGGTAAGAGGACAGACACTGGAGCCAGGCTTTCTGCTTTAAGTCTCAAATTTACCACGTACATGCAACATGTCCTGGGCAAGTTATTTAACCTCTCAGTACTTCTGTTTTTTCATATGTAAGATTGGGATAGTATCGATATTGCTGTGAGAATTAAATATGAGTAAGTGCATTAAATATGAGCAGTGGCTGGCATACAGTAAGTGGGGCAGTGTGAGTCTCCCTGAATGTGTTGACTCCACAGCTGGCGTAACTCCCATAACCTCGTGATGCCTTTTCTCTGAGTAGAAGAGAACCATTCTGATGTTTTTCTCTAACAAGCATTAATCAAGGTTATGCCACTCTGGATTAAAACAGAATCGCTGTAATTATAATACCATGGGTCCTCAGAAGGTGGCCACTAATCTGAGACTCTGAGGAAAGTTCTTGTGAGCTCATGAAAAGTCTTTTTCGACTCTGCCAGGGTGTCCTCTACCTGCAAAGCTGTCAAAGGGACTGGCCTCTGCTGCCTGTAACTGTGGGTTGTCTCCTGCCAGGGGCAACCACCCAGCTGCAGCCTCCCAGGCTGGGCCTCTCCTTGCACCAAGGCCTCCTAGTACACTGTGGATGGAGGGAAGGCCTCCTCATCCCTTTTGGTTAAACATTGTTCTGAGCCCCCAAATTCTTACAGAATTTCTAGTGAAAACAGCAGGCACAGTCAGTTGTTTTGGTTTGGTTGGTTTTGTTTTGCAAATTCTATGCCTCTAATCTTTCCCTCTCTTCCCTACCCCTTCTACTACCCTTGAGCACTCCTTACGAGTCTCTGGCAACCACCAGGTGACAAATTCTTGTCTCAGACACAGGGCTCTAATCTGAATGACCACCCTCAGCCCCCTTTGAAAACTTATATCCATCCAGATTGCATCTTCTCTTTCCAACTCCCCTGGTCCCATGTCCCCTAGACCTAGCTGGATCTACCATGAGCACATCCTGGTTCATCCTGGACACCTGCTATATTGTAGTATTTCTCCACTTAGTTTCAGCATAAGTCTGTCCTTACAGCAGAGAAAATAAGAAATTAAACTAGTTAAGCTAACTTAGGCCATAATTGCACATCATTCATGCTGCTTCTTTGACATATAAACCCATGAAACTTTGATTATCTTCCATAATTTTCAAAGAAAATGAATATAAACTCTGAAAGAGAAAACAAGTAAATAAATAAAAGGCAATGATTTCAGTGCACGATTCATTAACTCGAAAGTACATTCTTGCTAAGAAGTGCAGTCATCGATTTTTTTTCAAGATATTATGACAAGTGTATGTTAGGTCTGTGGGGAAACTAGGGGCCTGGCATTTGATGAACTGTGTTCCTCTTTCCTTTCCCTCTAATCAACTCATTTGTTAAAACTCAAATAATGTTAATAGGAGGGTTCTTTTTTCTAGAACAATAACATGATTTCATTTTTTTTTTTCGGTTACTCTAAATGCATATTTACTCATTTTTAATCAACTAAAAATTAAGGAATATTATTTTAACTGTTGCTTACAATGAAAGCAGAACTTTTTTCAGAAAAAAACTACTTTTGGATGGAATACAGTTTAAGTAAAGGCTGACTTTGATGTAGATGCAAATCAATTTATTGTTAACTATCAGGCTACTTTAAATGCATATTTAATCATTCAATCAAATGATAAATAAACTCAAAGAATATTATGTTAACTGTTGCTTACAATGAGAGCAGAATTTTTTTTCCAGATAATCTGGCACTTTGGAGGGTATAAAATTTATTAGAGGCTTACATTGACATGGATGCAAATCAGTTTATTATAACTTTCAGGTTACCAAACTGGAGAACCCTATGCTTCTAAACACACAGTAACAGAATAAAGAAAGATTCAAGCAAAACAAAACATCAATTTCGCTTTATAAAAACAATAAAATTACACGATCTAGAACCAACAATGAATCATTGGCTGATATATTTTTTTTTTCATTTTCCTACCCGTTATTCAGTTGTTTTTATAGACTGGCCTTAACCCTTACCTTAATTCCATCTCAAATCAAAATGTGGCATCAATAATGAGAGACTTTAAGTGATTTTTCAATGTAATATCCAAAGAGAAGGAGAAGAACTTAGCAGAGCATGCTTCTGTTCCAGGCATTCTGCCAGATGCTTTACCTAAATTATCTTATTTATAACCATTACAAACCAACAAGATAATCACATATGTTCTATCATTCTTAATTTACATTTGAAGAAATTGATGCTCAAACACATGTGACACAACAAAGGCCATATAGATGTGTGGAAACTTGATTTGAACTTGGGTTTTGCCAGAACTCGTAATTCATGCTTTAACGGTGTCCTCCCTCCCGCCCCGACTCCCCTACTCTGTATTTTGTGTTTTTAAAGGTTTACCCTCTGTTTTGAAAAGTTTCATAAAGTGTGGCTTGGAATCATTTATCAACAACTCAGGCATTTCTCTTCATGATAATGTTTTAAACTGATCAAATCACAGAAGAGGTGTAGCTTAGCCATTTTCTCAATTGACCTCATGCTACTCAATATCTTGAAGGTAGAAAATTGCAGTAATTCTAACCACTGGTGATGGGTCTTGTTAACCAAAAAAGAGGTTCAGTCTGTAATAAAGAACAAAAGGCATTTATTTGAGCAAAAGAATTGCAGTCCAGGAGAGGCAGACCCAGGTAGCAATCCAAACTGGGCTCTAAAAAGAACAAAGAAAGGCAGCGTTTATAAAGGCAAAAACCACAGAATGTAATTCTTTCATGCAAATGAGGGATTGCTGGCTAGGTTGACAGGAATGGGTTAGTTCCAGTATACAAAAATGGGAGGCGAAAACTACCAAGAGGAAGTAAAGTCCATAAGCATCCAGACAAGGGTTGTTCCAGGATGTTTATGACTCAGCCTCGAGCTTAGTTTAGCAACAGGTTTAGCAGCTTAATAGCAGTTTGGAAAACTGAGGCACAAGATGTGCACAGGCCCCACTTCCTTAATAGCCTCCTGACTCTATTTTAGAGTGACTCAACTCTCTTCGTAATGCTTATTCCATTTTTTTTTTCTCCATATCAGCCTATGAGAACTGAAGTAGTGGTCTTCTTATATGTATGCCATTTGCTGAATGTCCCAGCTGTACAAGCTGGTCATGTCAGTTTGTCAGGATACGATGCCCCTTGCCTTCATACCTGTGCCCAAATGCTCACCGTGAGTCGTGGCATTTGGTAGGCACCTAGATACCTTCTTTTCATGGAAATGATATTTTTACAACAAAGGAGAATATGACTCAGCCCAGAAGCCCATAGGCATAAATCGAATAGAAACTCAAATTTAATCCTTATGAGTTAGGTATTATTAGTCAAACTTTGCAGATTAGAAATGGAGACGGAAGCAAGTAAATAACTAAAAACATGGTTATATAGGTATTTCCAATCAACATCTGTCTGACTCGAGAGCCAGTGATCTCAACCACAAATGAACATCTGCATCTTTACAGCCTCCGTGATGGTAGTCAGCATACTCATAATACGTTGGAGTAAATGTCGCTTTGCTAATAGAATCTTATCTTTTTTATTGCTTAACACTGAATCATCAGAAAAGCCATCTTTTTAGTTGTCACGTAGACATAAAGGTAGTCTTAGTCCTTCCCCAATTAGTAGTTAGTGATCAGTAAAACAACCCTGTAATGTAATTGCTATTTATGTAAACATTTGAATGAAATTAATAACCACAATGAATTTGTCTCATTTTGGAGAGGAAATTTCTTAAATATTCCCAGATAAAAACTTGTAAAAACTGGCCTAGTCTACATGCCACAGTTCCAGTGACATTCTCTGTATGGCATTGTTCCTTTATGACTATTTCTAGCATCTTGTTCATTTTTACTCTTCTCAGTTACTCTGTACTATTTCCTTACTTATTTTTCTAGTGCTTGGCTTTTCTTTGTATTTCTCTCTCTCTCTCCCTCTACCTCTCTCTGTCTCTCTCTGTCTCTGTCTCTCTGT